AAATTGATCCTCGAACGCGCTCCCCGTCGACTCCGGAACTCCACCAGAGCGAGAGGCAGAAGCGGAGTCGATGGGGGAGCTGCAGCCATCGATCCCGGTGCGTGAGGACGGGAGGTAAGTCGATCTAAGATATGTCGACTTCAGCTACGCTATTCTCGTAGCTGAAGTTGCGTATCTTAGATCGATTCACACCCCCCCCCAAGTGTAGACCAGCCCTAAGATTGAGATTATGGCCTAGTTAGTGAGGCAAAAATCATCCCTAAAGACTGCCTCAAAAATCTCTCTGAAGGACCTTATTTTTTCCAAACATAATAATTGAAAGTGCCTTTTATATAAAATCAATATAATGGGCCAAATACTCCCCAATTCACAAGTTATGGAACTCCATTTGTAATGGTGGGATTGCACAAGGTGTAACTCAAGAGGAAAATTTGACTCAAGTTCCACAATTCAAAGTTCCAAAGTTAGGCCTCAATTCTCTTTAACTTTATGCATGTTAGCAATACCATTACCATCAATGGCTTGTGTTGTTCAGAAGGACAGAATATATTAGCACAATACTTTCTTCTGACTTTATCAATCTATGAATCAACTTACTCATATAAGCAACTCTAATGATTTTTATAAAGTAATTAAATGCATAAAGCCTGCTCATTTGAGTAAGTCTTGAAGGATCAGGACTTCAGTATGATAAACAGAGTCACATATTAGAAAAATATTTATTCTCCAAACAATAAAAAACAAAACACGAAAACAAAAGTTTGTACATACTGTTAGCAAGACCTTTTGTGTTGCAGTAAATAAAGATTTGTTGTACGCTGACTCCCTATGCCACTCAAAATCTTATAATCTTTAAAGCAATTACTCTGTGTTATAAATATGTCTTCCGAGGAATTCATTACACTTTCCCCCTTAATATTTTATAGCAAGACAACATTCACTTCATGAGAAACACCCACTTTGAGCTCAGACAGGTCAATTATCAACAAACTGAGAATCCATTGTATAGACATGGAAATGATATACCAAGACTGCTTGTAAGAAGCCATAACCGCACATTGAGTCAAGGGTATCTACATTCATTGGGCTCTAGTGGATCTATAATCAAGCAAATGAGCTACAGACCATTAAAGTATAGATATTATTATTCTAAAAAAGCCACTACTATCTATTCTGTGTACATAATCACATGCAAATTACTTCCACTGTCTCAAAAATAAGGTAATTGATTTATAGCCTAAAAATATCCAAATAGGTTCTAAAATGAAAGAACATTTTAAATAATATTCCGTACCAATGTGTATCACCAGCAACTTTATACATATATGTATATATACATATATAAAATGCATATCAGACATTTTTAAATAGATCATATATATGATCAGTTTAAAAAGGTCTAATATGCATAATTGTATAATTATGATTTCACATGGCATAAAGGTTTTATTACCATGAGATTGGGATGGGTATATTACCAATGAATAGCAAAGTGACAAGTGAACTGTGCAGGTCATTTCAAACGAGTGCCAATACACTCTTTATAGTGCACCACTCTATCGAGTACTCTGCATAAGCCCTATGTTTAACAGAAAACTTATTCCAGAAATGTTGTGTTTGTATTTTTTGGATGCTGGAATTATGAGCAATTATTGGCTCTCTCTGATGTTACTGACTATGTAGGAGCTGAGCCTATCTGTAGCCCATTTGTAGCAGGAGGGGTTTGAAACTGTGGTGGCTTGTCCATGTTTCGATATGTTATTTTTTTTTATTGTGTGCATTTTCCCCCTTTTTGGTTTGCCTAGGCTCCCATGTCTAAATGGTTCCTTCTGGATAGCCCTTTCTTCTCTTCCTATATGGAGAGTGAAGCCATAATGGAATATCTGTAGCTGTACCAGATTGAGGAAATATTTTGGGGTTCCCTGGATTCTGTGCTCAGGAGTTGTGAAGTCCAATAGGTAATTTTTAAGATAACCTGCTTAAATCACTCACTGTAAACACTGATTGGCTATAAGAGGGGTATGCCATTTCACAGGTATTAAAAGCTTCTGCTTCCAACTACAGCCTTCTTGCGCCTGACCTTAAAGACATTTTGGATGTAATTTAAAGTAGCCTAGGGATGCTTTAAATTAAATAGGCTAGAAATGGGCCTGTAACATTTTTTTAAAAGTTCAGAATAATTCCACATGCCAATTCACCCAAGCTGTGTCCATTTAAAAAAGAATATGCACTCCCTCACCGAACTCACACACCTGCTTCTCTGATTGGCTTTGGTAAGAGCTATTTCTCTGATCTGGAGCCAGTTAAGAATGCTTCTTTACACTGCTTTCTCAATACGTCTATTTAGTCACTTTAATACGAGGAATCTGAACACATACACTGCTTTGTAAAGCTATTCAAGAAAATGCCTTACAATTATTATGCATTTCCCAGAGATTGTTAAATGTTTTAAATATGTATTTTATAAACTAATACAGTTATTCAAAGTCAGATTTGGAACAAGCTGTGTTATTTGATAAGTGAAATTGCTTAGTAAAATGCTTAAGTAAAATTAACCAGTTCCAATTTTTGGAATTTCATCAGAGGTAAAAATTAAAGATTTCAGAAAGCTTTTAAAAGTTTGCCATCTCAACAAAATCTAATACAAGATTTAAATATAAGTGGATAAAAACACTAATATTTTGATGTACAGTGTTAGTGGAGTTTAAGTTGAAGTCTTCCATATTGTGTGCACTTATTAAGGATTGAATCAAATCTAGACATTATGATCTAGATTTTAGGCCTGCACAATTGCTTGCATACATCTGTGAATGCACAATTGAAACCAATGCATAAATACTAACTAGCTGTCAGAATGCTCAGATACTTGGGCCTCAAACATGGCACTGACACAAGCCCTGAAGAAGGTGGCAAGGCATATTTGCACAGCCTCAGGAACAGCCCAGGGGGGCAACTAACTCCCTCACAGTTTCCTCAATGCTGTGGGAAAGAAGTAAACTGTACTGGATCTATACTCAGTGCAGCTAAACCGGCTGATGCTTTGTGACAGCAAGGGAGAACCTTGGCTCTGCCCGATCCCTGCCTTCTTCCAGCCCTCCTACTATCCAGCTATGTGAGGAGGGGACACAGTAATTCTGCTGAGTCTGTTTTCCCTCCCACACTGCTACCTTGAACCCACTTTATGCCCTTGTTAGCCAGTTTTGCTCTTGATTTGCATATACATATGGTAAATTAAGTATAAGCCCACATGTGCACTCTTCTTTGAAAAACATCCTTTTTTGAAAAATACAGCTTTTCAATATCTTTTTCAAAATGTTTAAAGTTAGAAATTAACCATAAAATAGATCAGGAGGAAGGACTCAAAATCAAATGATCAAAAGACCTAAGAATGCTTTTCTTCTGGTTGGATTCTCATCTTAAGGAATGTAAAGCTGTTTTCCGTATATCCAACTTTTTTGGATGATGCTTACCTGGCTATATTTGTAGCTCACCAGATATTTGGATAGTAACAGTCTCCCCTGAGCATATTCTGTGACTGAAAACATCTAGAGATTTGGTTCAAGAATTTTTATAAGGATTGTCACAGTCGTATGCTTACAAAGAAGAATTAGAACTAAATATTTATCAGCAATACAAACAAATCTTTGATTTGAATCATCTATCGCTTTGTTATTCAAAAGTTCTTTAGAATAGATGAGGCAGATAATGCTTTGTGTGTTCAAAGGTTCTATTTTTTCCGCTCTTACCAGAAGGAAATATGTACACAGTTGCTTTTCGAGAAAATATTATTGTTTACAAATTCTTTCTAACTTACCCTACCTTATACCCATTTCTGAATTTATCATCAGTTGAAAAAGGCTGTTATGTATATAAAGACAGTGGCCTTGTCTTTGTGGCCAGTTGACTTTTAGACATTACATCTTGGCTTCCAAAAGTATTTTAATAAATCAAACTCTGTCCAGTATTGATCTAACAGTGTTCTGTGTCTGGATCGTTATTTTTCATTTATCTCAATAAAATGGTCTAACTCAAAGAATTTTTAAAATCTTTTATGTAGTAAACAAACATATTTCCAGACATGAGTCTTGTGTCATTCAACAGCTGGCTGAAAACTGACTTACGGATTCCAGGTTTGGCACTTCATTTTCCTCTCACTTTCACCAGTTTTACACTGATTTAACTTCACTTATGCCAACTAAATTATTCCCTGTTTGCAGCTGCATTCAAGGACAATCAGGACGAGAGACTCCACTAAGCTAAATTCTTAGTTGATGTCACATGTATTTATGAATTTCATTTAAACTTTAAATAGAGCAAACCAACAAAAAAATTGAGAAATATAAAGACATTTGTTTAATATTACCCTTACTTGACTTGGCTGTAGTGTACTGAAACATTAGACCATTTTTTCCATAGTATCAGGACAGATACACTATTGTTAAAATAAAAAAGACCTACAAATCACATATAGTATTATGTGGAATAGAAGAATATACTGTTTCTTTAACATATGATTTTAGGACTACCTTCAATTAAATATGCATCCAAACAGCCATCAGAAATGCAATTAATTCTGTATGCTATTGGGTAAAATAAATGAATTAACCAGTTTAACTAGTAAATATTTTGCTTTTGATTATTATTAAATAATAATGCTTGGAACTCATATAGTACTCTTCATCTGCAGATCTACAAGCTAATTACAAAGGCTGGTAAACATTATTATCCCTATTTTAGAGATGGAGAAACAAACAGAGAGGTTAAATTACTTGCCCACAGTCACACAGTGAGTCAATAAAAAAGCCAAGCCTAGACTGACTCCTACATCTCCTGATGCCCTGGTTCACTGGACCAAAAAATGTAGTTCTTCAAGCATTGTTAAAGGTAAGTTAAATGTAAGAGCTCACTTCAAATAAACCAGCAAACATTCATACATTTCAAGCTTATTCCTCAAAGTGTTTTTATAAGCAATCATGAAAAATGAACTATTGTATATTTACCCATATCTAGGGTCTAAGGCAATAGCTCTGGGATGCTCCATAGCGCCTGCTATTAATGTTGTTCTCAAAGTGCCATCTAATTTTGCTACTTCAATTTGATCCAAATTGCTGTCTATCCAGTATATGTTTCCTGCAATCCAATCTACTGTAAGACCCTCGGGAGTGGCCAGGCCATGTTGCACTACGACTTCAATGGCACTCACACCTAACAAAGATCAAAAGGTTGCAAACATATAAAAGAGTTAGAACAGAGATACAACACTTAAAATGTGATAAATGCCTGATCACACTGCCAGCTAAACAAAAATAATTAAAATGTGCAAAACTGTATATCATTTTTCTGATGCTATAGTTAAGACTGTCTCCATTTAATGAGTCTTAATGCATATTTTTCAGTGAGAGACCACATAATAGCTAATCTGACATTATGATATTTATCTTCATTAGTTATTTTTCTTTTTTCACAAGTAGTGAGAGAGTATATGCTCATGTACAAAATACATTTTTGGTCATTACAGGAATAAGAAATGAAGGGAAATTTAATAACCTTTAAATAATGTGTGATTTTGTTTGCTAGGTCTTCAATGAAAAAACGCATAGGTGCACATCAACCTAGAAAACATTTTTATGTAAGTATTTCTATATACACTGTGAGATTATGTTGTGCTATAGGCCAGGACCACATACAGTGTGGTTGGGTCACCATGTTAAAGGCCTCATATTTCTCCATTTGTTAAGGCGGGGGGGGCAGCTATAATATTGTGCACCAGAATCTAAAGTATCAGATTAAAAATTAAGTCTCTAGACTTTACAGTTCCAAAGATGATAATCAAGTTGTAAGCCGAGCATAACCAAACCAGTGACTCCTGCCTGAGTTTGGATATAACCTAAAACAATCGCTCTGAGAGGAGTAATAATAATAGCTTTGCCAGAATCTGACAAGTTTGATGTTCTATGGCTACATTATTTTGGCTGGAACTCTCTTTTTAAGGACCTACTAAAATAAGTCAAAAGTTAAATTCATACCTCCAGTTTCAGAAAGCTTGCCTCGGTAAATTTTATCTTCCACCACATCCGTCCAGTACAGTAAGTTCTGATTGAAATGAAAATCAAGTGCTATTGTGTTTCTTAAACCAGGAACTAAGAGACTGTAGTCTCGCTTGTGAAGATCAATCTTTCTGATCTCGTGACGAATGGAAAAAATGATGAAAGCTTCAAATGGATCTGGAAGTACAATGGATTGTACATTAAAAAATATAATAAAGAATAGAATTTTAGTAGACTTACTGATATGAGGCACACACATCTGAACAAGAACGGCAGAGTACTTTATTAGAGGAACAGTTTGATTAAAATAATAGAACTTGTAAGTCTTACTAGCTCATTCATTTTCTAACAAAGAGAAAATCATGCAAATATATATATATTGCAGTCCAATCTAGACTTCTGCTCACCTGCCTCAACTAAAGGTATTGAATGGATATTAACAACAAGGATATCTGACTCAGTCAGTCAGTGGTCCACAGGTACAGCACAAAGAATGTCTTCTGGATGAGAGCTAAGTGATGGAGTGTCTTTCCTCCCCTCCCCACTCCCCCCCCCCCCCCCCCCCCGGACTTCAAGGATTAAGGTCAGAAAAAAAGTTTAAGCTATCAAAACTAAAATAAGAACTGGAGTGAAGTTTTTATTTTCTTAAATGCTTCAGAGAAAATGTCTGTTCAAAATTATCTAGTATTGCTCTAATTAACAATTAGTTGAAAACCATGTACTGCAACATATATAACACACAAAACATCATTTTGTGTGAGTTAAACTGCATAAACAACTTATCTAACACAAAACCACAAAAACAAGGAAATGTAAAATTAAGGCATGTAACAGCACACAACTTCTTCGAATTCACCACCACCATCACAAACAGACCAGACTTTCCCTCCATTAACCATTCTGAACTGTTCTTGAAAAATCATACTCACTTGTGTTTTTGGAAAGGGTGCTAGAACCTGGCATCTCTATTGAGACAGAATTGAGGATATTGTGCATTGTCTGGTGCATGGCATTTGTTCTAGTAGTGAAATGTACATCTCTGGGTGGATGAGTAAAAGGAATGTAATGTTAGGTGCCTTCACTTTTTATGTCCTTGTAGCTGTGGATTTGTGTTAAGTAGGTTATGTACGTACACAGCAATGACTACTTTCACAAAGAATAAGATCACTGTCAAAGTGACCAGCCGGGTCTGGAGCAAAACAAGAAAATCTTAATGAAATTATCCAGCCAATTCAAGAGCTCTACTTTAAAGAACAGAGACTTTTGCAAATATTATTTTATTTTGGAAAACAGACATTGCTTTCTTGAAGATCTTCCTCTACAATGCAACAATAATGCTGCTGGACTAGTAAAATCTCTTTCCCTCTACCATACTAGGCCTCAGTTTGGGATGGTGTGCGTATTACAGGGGGAACACGACAACAGGCAGGGTTTCAGTGCCTCCTAAGGTGTTGAAAAGCAGAGTAAGTCAAAATGTTGCACAAAAGGAACTTTTCACTTTCCTTTTTAAAAACTAAACTTTTTAATGGTCTCCATTAGCTAATAATTGCACATAAAGATTCAGTTGTGACTTGTACTATATTAAATAATGATCTCCAACAGAATGGTTCCTTACATGAAAAGCACTATCTGCTTATGAGCCAACAGGCACTTTCACAAAGCTCCTGATACTTGTCAAAGTAGTGACTGATTTTGTAGATCCTGAACTGGCTGAACTATATGATGATGAACAAGCTCTTCAACATTAGTAGCTGTTGCATCACAAAGGTCAAAAGCTCCTAAGCTTGATGAACAATTTAATGAAGCTCCTGATCTTTGACAAATCAGCAGGTATGGTGTAGAGTACCCTATTCATCATAAATCTTGTCCTTCATTGGCTAACTGTGGCACAAAAAGATTGTGTTATTATAGCGAGAAAAATCATGCAAACTCCGAAGATGAAATTTTTGGCCCTTTTTTAAATCAACTAGAATTTAGGAACTAAAATTAACCAATTCTCTTCAACACTCCCTCCCCCCTCCCTCTCTCTCTCCCCCCTGCCCTCCCCCCACCCCCAGTCTCTTGGGGCAGAAAATACAGGTTTTACTCAACAGATTATCTTTTGAAACTTTGGGCCAGGTATATTGTGTTTTACGGGTTTAACTACTGTTTTAAGTGCAAAACAGAATGCAGCCTTAACCATGGCAACAACAGTTCTGCTATAGTAATACAAAGAATGTTTAAGAAATAGAGCTGGACAAAATAGCTTCTTTGCTCTATAAATAATTATATATTTGACAAAAAACATGCTTATAGGCAACATGGTTTATTATGTGTACACAATTACTCTTCAGCATATACAAGTTATAAATAAAGAAATGCAGGTGATGCACAAAAGAGAAATATTGTGCTATATCATAGAACAGTTTATATGCAGGAGGATCCTAGATTGAAAAAAAATTAAATCTTTCTTATATCATCTGGTATGAGAAGTTGGACTATGCAAACCACCCATGGAAGAAAATAAAATGTGGGACAAATAGTAAATCATAATTTTCCTGAAATGTTTTTATGCTGGTATTTTGTTTTAGATGGGTCGTTAACTGAAATGTCAGTGTCACTGGATCTTAGGCTGATGTGCATTACCAGACTTATTTGTTACCTTATACACCTCTACCTCGATATAATGCGACCCGATAGAACACGAATTCGGATATAACGCAGTAAAGCAGCGCTCCGGGGGGCGGGGAGGGGGGGGCGGGGCTGCGCACTCCAGTGGATCAAAGCAAGTTCAATATAACGCGATTTCACCTTTGGCTCCCAAGGACAGCGTTATATCGAGGTAGAGGTGTACTGTGCCTTCTCGAACCATACCTCCAAAGCAAATTGGTACGCTAGCTTCCTAAATATTGAAATTCAACATTTACACCTTCATTGATCGTCTCTTATTCAGAAATCTTGAGTTACCTAAAAAAACCCATATCCCTGAATATTACAGTAAATAGATATTTTAACCAAGAATAAAGTTAGGATTAAATGATTTTTTGAGGGGAAAAATTGAAAGCATTAATATATGTGAAGCAGAGTTGCTGTAGTTTTTAAAGAAATTATGACAAGCTTTTCTTACTAAAATTACATTGAAAGTTCATCTGTCTTTTGCTATACTGAATTCTGAAAGGCTGAATATAAACATAGGGTTTAAATATCTCTCCAGAGAAGAGTTTCTACCACATTCAATTTTTTTCTAATGAATTTTTTTCTAGTGTAACTGTAATATACCACCAGTCATTACTGTGCAGAAGTATTACAATAGGAAATGGGCAGGGCGAGTGTAAAGAATGCACTCTTTATATTCAATTGGTATGTGAATAATGCCTCTCTTTTGGTGTGGTACTCATATTCAAACAATACAAATCTTAAATTAATAAAACATCTCTTCTTTGGAAACCCAGCATGGAGCTCCATTCTAAGGTAGCCTAGGGCTGGTGCTTCACTCTTCTGTCCCTCCTCCACTGCTGTTGGAGAGGAAACATAATGCGGAGCAGAGGAGAAGGAGTTAGGCAGCAAAGAAGATGACAAGAGATAAAAACAGGGTGATGTTGAAAATGGAAAAACATGGAAGGAAAAGAAAATAGAAGCAAGGGGGAATGCCGGCAGAAATGAGAAAAAAGGTGGAAAACGGAAAGATTTAAAGATGGAGATGGGAGTAAAGAAGGGAATAAAGAAATATAAACAAGAAAAGAAACAAAGTCTCCCCACTATCTTAGGGTAGTTATTTTTGTTCATTTCTTATTCTACATTTCAGGATATCTCTCTGGGAAACATCCACTGGCAGGCATTAAACTCTCACCCACCTAGTACCCTCACCATGAGTAATGTACTGACCTGAGTTAACACATTTGTACAGGGCCGGCTCTAGGCACCAGCAAACCAAGCACGTGCTTGGGACGGCACATTTACAGGGGCGGCATTCCAGCCCTCCTTTTTTTTTTTTTTTTTTTTTTTGCAAAAGCCTAGAGCCGGCTCTGGTAGCAGCAGCACATCCTGAGCGGGGGGCGCCCTGGGGCCGCTGCAGTTTACGCCGTGGAGGAGCAGTGCCCGCACCTTGTCGCTGGGCCGGGCAGGCTCCGAGTGGCTGAGGGCCGCCCCACGGGGCACACGGAGCTGCCTGCAGGTGCCGCATGGCGGCCACCCCCCAGCGCCGCAGACAGGGCTGGGCGAAGCGGCCCGAGCCGCCCAGGGACTGCGGCAGGGCGGCCAGAAGCAGCAGCGGGGCCATAGAGGGTGGGGCGCTGCCATGCGGGTCCCACTCTCTGGGGCTCCGCTCCCTCTGGGGCTACCCTGCCCCGGCTCCTCAGCCCCCTGCTGGGGCAGTCCCTCAGCTCTGCCCTCCCGGGTCCCAGCCGCTCCTGGAGGTGGGAGCCCTGGCTGGACGGACCCTGGGCTGAGGCATGGCCTGGGAGCCCCGCTGCTTACCCCGATCCTGCCAGCGCCAGACCGGCTGGAGGTGAGGAAGAAGCGGGTGGAGTCAGCACTGGTGGGGGGGAGCCCAGCGCTGGGGCGGCAGGGGGTGCGGGGAGGGAAAGAGAGAGCCAAGGGCTGGGGTGGCAGGGGGTGTGGTGGGGGAGGGTGCGGGTGGGGGTGGGGGGGGAGGGCCCAGGGCTGGGGTGGGAGGCAGCCAAAATTTTTTTTGCTTGGGGCAGCAAAAAACCTAGAGCCGGCCCTGCATTTGTACTATTCATATTAGGTTTCTGGTAGACAGGTAAATGTACAGTTTTTTGAAAAGTAAAGTGCTATATCATTATCTTAAGTATTATTAGTACTATGTGCTATTGAAATGTTTGACTGAATACCACAAAGTGATATTCTATATGGTACAAACTTAGTTTCAGATCAGAGTAATAATTCCCCTCAGAACAATTTCATTTTCATTGGAAACCTGATTAGTAGTTAGCTCTCTAGTACAATGGACCAATCTCCTCCCCATTTCAAGACAATGTAAATCAATGCAATTATGCTAGGAATAAGGTTGCCCCAATGTGTGCATTTAGAGTGCGATGGGAGGAAGTTTTATAGTGTGGGTGATGTTTATTCTCACAACACCAGTTTTAACCCTGCTGTAAATGGACACAGCTCCAGGAAAGTCAGTACATTTTTGACTCATTTTAGAAAAAAAACCTTCACTCCGAGTTATACTC